TTTCTATACTTTTTCTGCTCTTTTCCAGTTCCCAAAATACTATACATAAAACTTCTACGTTTCATGAAGCTGCACACAAAGCTTCTTTAAAAGAAACTCAAAATTGCAAAGCTAATTACAAAGATGAAAATCAGAACTGGTAAGAAAGCCTTCAAGCTTCAGAGTGGCTTATAAAATCAGATACAGTGACTGGCTGACCTCTGTAAATAGCTTTGCTTAGGAGCACTGACAGGACGCAAGACTGAACATATCCTTGCCATCTTACTCATTCCCTTCTCTTTATGCAGTTCATCAACTCATTTAGTGTCTATCTTTGAGAGCAATAATGAAATACTCTTTATATTTTCCACACAGCACAGCAACAACTTTTTCCCTAGGTTGATCCAACCTGTGCAGTTAACAAGGGAAGGTATCTGTGATGAGACAGATAACGCACGATAAGTCAGTGTTCTCACAAAATGTCAACTAAAGTCAACTAAATTATATCCACATAGATAGATCTATTGCACAGACTGTTGCCGCTTTCATCCGACTGAACAATCATAACCTTCTGCCATCTTTCATTTTGAACAAAAATAGAGGGATGAGGCAAACAAAGCAAAATCCACTAATAACCATCAAGAAGGTTGTTTTAGTTTGAATTCAAATTCACCTTTGAGATATCTTGAGGTAGAAGAAACCATTTTCCTCTTCTCCCAATAAGCGCATGGCTTGTTCCCATACCTTGTTCCCATTTTGATCCTGCCTGACAACACTCACATCAGATGGCTAATCATAAAATCATAGAATAGTTTGCGTTGGAAGTGACCTTTAGAGGTCGTCTAGTCCAACCCTCCTGCAGTGAGCAGGGACATCTTTAGCTGGATCAGGTTGCTCAGAGCCCCGTCCAACCTGGCCTTGAACATTTCCAGGGATGGGACTTTACCACCTCTCTGGGGAGCCTGTTCCAGTGTCTCACCACCCTCATTGTAAAAAATGTCTTCCTTATATCTAGCCTAAACCTGCGCTCTTTTAGTTTAAAAACATTACACCTTGTCCTATCACAACAGGCCCTGCTAAAAAGATTATCCCCATCCTTCTTACAGGCCCACTTTAAGTACTGAAAGGCTGCAATAAGGTGTCTCCAGAGCCTTTTCTTCTCCAGGCTGAACGACCCCAATTCTCTCAGCCTGTCCTCATAGGGAAGGTGTTCCAGTCCTCTGATCAGTGGGTCAGGGCATGAATTCAAGCACTGTCCCATATACCATTTAACTGTTAGCATCTTCTGGTCTGGTTTTGGGCCCTTGTTGTTCCAGACGAAGTTCAGGCACACTTTAGGACACCATGTAGGCCAAGAACTGTTCCCAGTACATGGTATGGGCAAGACTGTCCTTTTGCAGGGAAGGAGTTTAGCAGGACTGAAGAAGAGGGGGATGGATCAGTTAGTCTCTCATCCTAAAGAAGTTGGGGTGTGTCTGGGTGTAGAAACAAAGCACCATCAATTCCAAGACTTAATGACTCCCAACCCTTCACTGCTGTGCCACGTGGCTCAGCTCCTGCATCACTACTCCCTGACTCCTGACCCCTTCATCCATCTCATCAAGATCCCTCTTCCAATCTCCCTTCCCAAGTGTGGATTCATTGTGGTTCGCCCCTTGCACTGCAGAAACTGATAGCTTTTTCCTCCCCAGTGTGAAGCAGAAGTTGGGTGGTGGTACAGAAACTCTTTCAGAAAGCTATGAATGCTCTGTGTGTGTGCAGGTTCTAAAGTAAATAATGAAAAAGTAAAAACAGAGAAGCACAGAGCAGTGTGTAGTTGTAGCTAGGAAACAGCCAAACTCCCTAGTGATCCCGTGAAAGACTGGCTCCTTTTTTCCTTCGTTGCAATGTGCTGATATACAACCCAGCCCAGTGCAGCCTTGGGCAGGGCCATGCACAAGTACTGTGAAAAGGGTGCGCAGGCAGCAGCAGGCGTGGGGAGGTCAGACCAAATCCACAGCTATACTAACTAAAGAGCAAAGATACACCCCCATGGAGATGAAGTGATTTAATGGAAAACAGAGCACACATCCATGGTACAAAGACCATGGATTTAGCCACTGTAAATGTCAACTCTTTCCAAAGGTACAAGTATGTCTAAACCTTTTAAAATATTGACAGAATCAGAAAATGCAACTTAATTCCTGAAAGACTACTCAGTTTGGCTGAAACTTCAGCAAGGTATCAACTACAAGGAAATTCAGCAGTTATGAGACAAAAAACTCCCAAGCATTGCAATGTGGATATCTCAGTTATAAAATCACAGTGCTACCAACTCCAGCTATAATAAAAATAGCTTAAGTGTGTTATACTCCAAAAGGGGAAGCTTCCAAACACATCCACTCACAAGCTTACCAAAAATCACAAGTTTGACAAGAAAGGTGGCATTTACTTATCTACAATTTTCTTTTGAAATCAAAATAGTTTGCTTTCTTCAGAAAATTCTAAATGTAAACAAGAGTAACCCTGACAACTAATTCATTGAATTGAGGGACTGAAATCTAACATGTGAAGAGATGATGCCATTTCCCATTAAGTCATCTTTATTCCATAAATCCTTTTACGTGGATAAACTAGTGCCTACTTTACAAAGTGATATTTGGAAACTTATGATCAGGTGATGAGAATAATCGAGCGCTGTCCAAATAGTTCAAAATGTATGAATGAGTTTCTGACATGTTACAAACTTCTAGAGAAGAAAACTTGCTTTATCCAGCTACAGTGACGTAAAATATAAAGAGAAAAGATTCTGCTACAGAGTACAGTCATGGTCATTTTGTAAAGAACATCTTAAAGAAAATTTAAGATTTAAAAAGCATAGTTCTAAGATTAAATGGAGAGAAAAACTAATCATATTTATACAAATAAAGGCCAAACATGCTTCCCCAAAAGCTGATTAAGCAGTCACTGTCCAGGAAATCACTAGAAACATCAAACAGAAACATATTTTATACTACTTACAAGAAACAACACTTCAGAATATGTCAGTGCATCAGTTATTAAAAACAAAATCACTGTCATGGGAGAAAGGTTTCTAAAACAGGAGCAAGTAAGAGTGTACAAAACATCAGTGCAGAAAATGTCAAGTAATGCCTGATACGTGATAAATTCTTCAAAACAAAAGAGGGCCCTGCTGTTATTTGTTTTAAGTAATTTCCAACTTTGCACTGTAAGACACAAATACAAAGCAGCATTTGAAACTGGAACTTATATTTAAATTAGAAAACTAAACAAGAGTACAAGTTGAGTAGCTTTAAACAATTCAGCCATTAAACAAACTGACATCAATTATTAAAGTTGGTGTGGTGGTGATTTATTTTCATTTCCTTGTTCAACTTTGGGAAAATTAATCTACTTATAACTGATGTCAATGTAAATTCAATTCCATATGATTATGAAGTATTATGAAAATAATTGTGAGGTGTCGAACTCAAGGGAGCTATTTACAGGAACATCAGGAACAAGATATTGTTCCTGGTGAATATCAGTATTGTCTGTAAAGTAGTTTTGGTAAATCTGCTGGATTGCTGCATTGACCGACTAACACAATATAAAGTTTCAGACATTCTGAAAGACTTTATAGCTTTTAAGCATTACTGAGAAAAAAATAAATGCTACATAATTTTTAGAAGTACATGAATTAAGAAGAGGAGCTGAAATTGTAGGCAATACCATCTAGAAGTTTCCAGTACAAAGTATAGCAAGTTTTATGTAAACTCAAAGATTTTAGTGTCATTAATGTAAATACTCTGCAGCACTTTATGATGTTCCTGCAAGTGGAGCTCAGCTTTTCCTTTAAAGTGGAATTTGCTATTTTCTATGATGTTTTGTTCTTACATTTTTAAACACCTTAATAATGCTAAGCCAATAAGACAGGAATTTAATATTATAAATTCCTTTAGAAAAAAAAATAAAAATCTTATGCACAAGATAAAGTTAGCATGTCATTCAGACATCTGACAGTACTTGGAAGCACATTTTAATATCCTGTATTTACATTATTAATGTAAACACAAATGCACACTAAATTACTGCTTATATAAACTATATAATATCCACTCTTATTAACTCTTCCTTCTTAAAATGATAATTAATTCTCAAGCATGTAAGAGAAGATAATGAATCCTGGCTTTTGCATAACATATTAGAAAGAGTACTTTTTTTTTTTTTTTTTTCAGAAAATGTTTCTACCATTACACACGTCAACTACAAGAGCTTTTAAGTGCTTAGTGTACTTTACTACACCGGTCAGCAAAAGTACTCCATTAGCTCTCTGTACCCAGCAATCAATAAACTCTCTGGCCCACAAAAGTTAAAAAAAAAAAAAAAAAAAAAAAAAAGACCAAACCCAGGACTTCTCAATTTCATTGAAGTTTTACAAAGGTTCTTGCTGTCCAGAGCCTTCCTAGAATAAAAACTTTAATAATGAACTTTGCTCTCAGCTGCATATTTACTGGTTAATATGATGATTTGTACATCCAGTTGTGATGACATAGTGCCTCATAAGACTAGAGCAGCTCAGTTTGTGCCAACAGTTCAGCCTAACCCAGGGGATTCAACTCTACTAGAATACATAAAGGAACTTAAATGGTATGCATGGCGTGTAGCTTTCTCTAAACGTAAGTATAATTTGTGGAAAAATTCACAAAGCGAAAATGTAAAGGGTTTATGTAACTAAAAAATTAACGCTTGAAGTGTCCTGATTCTTCTATCCAAAAGAGCTGAGATATTTGTTGTTTGCTTTACAATGGTAAACACTCTTATTTCTTTTTCCTTACTTCAGTCCAGCTCATTGCCTGCTATCTACCTAAATCTCCCATCAGAACAGCAGGTTTATTAGGTTTCTGTTTCCTGCCTTGTTTTATCTATCAATGATCTAAATTCTGTAGCCATGCATCATGCTTGCAATATTAGAACCCAGTCCTCAACTGGCCCCCGGAGACTAAACAGATCATTAAATATTAATCAACAATGCTACTTACCACATTGAAATCTAAGTTTTTTTCAACCCACTCCTTCGCTTCCTTGAATTCCTCTTTCATTTCCATGATGTATAGTGTATCAAGGGCATCCACTATTGTTGCTCCTTGAATGTTACCTGAAATACATGAAGAGCCAGTGATTTACTTTCTAACAGAAGGCTTTTCAGTTAGAACTAATTAAATTAAATTAAATTTAATTTCAAACCCCAATTTCAATTAATCCAATTAAAAATTGGGCATATAAGCATTCAAGTGGGCAACTAGTAATTCATAGACTTAACTTTGATTCCCATGCCACAACATGACATCGTAACATTTAAGTATTTCTTCCACTAATGAAGTTTTGAAGAGCAGTTCTGATGCACTACATGACTGTTTCCTCTGGTTTGGAGTGAAAAAAATCAGATTTTTTTTTTTTTTTTTTATACTCAGTAATACCCATAGAGCTTTAAGAAGCTGATAAGTACTAATCACATTTCAGTTAAGAAACCCCTTTAAGAAGCACCCTCTCTGAAAAACAATTTTTCTGATGCTGTGCATCACCATGTAACTTGCAAACTTGCACACATGTGAATTTCTCAACTCAGGAGAGGCTGCCAGACACAGGTTTTCAGAGCAAGTTCTGGTTGTTTGCAAAAGTGGCATCCTTCTACCTCTGTTACGGAGATGGATAAGAGTTAGCCTTCGCCTAATGTTGCAAGATGAAATATCATCAGTATGTTCACTTTGGCATGGATTAAATGTTCATGATCCTGCACTAAAAGGTTAATGTGGAGGGTGAAGGAGAAAATAAAGCCACTCAAATGACTTTCCCATGCTTCCTTCAAACTTACAATGACCTTCTCAATACACCATTTTTGTCTAGCAAGAGTTTCAATTCCTATTTACTGAACAAGGTAAAAAAATCAATTTTGCCCACTTTATTCAATTTCATATTTATGAACTTGGCTCCAGCAATCTTCATTATGAATGGAAACTACTGTTAAGGTATACTTTAGAGAAGACCCTAGATACAGAAGTAAACATTTAGAATTGCAAAATAATTTAGGTTGCAAGGAACTGAGGAAGTCATTAGGTGCAACCCCTCTCCCCCAGCAAGGCTAATGACTCAAGTGGATAGTTGACTACTTATTCAGGAACTGATTGCACTGGGCAGACAACAGGGCAGTAGCTCCAATTAACTTTACAGAACTTGATCATCATTTTGTCTCTGAAACACCCGATTAAAAAGTAAACTTAGTTTTGTAGAGTTATCAAGCATCAGAATTGAATTATCCATATTTAAGTAGGAAATCTTCTATTTTAGTAAATTCTTGTGTTTAACACCATCAAGGTTTTCTGCTTCCTCATGAAATGGAGAAGTGATTAAAGACCTACATATAGCAGGATTGACATCTCTTTAACTTAAACTGCCAAGTAGAAAATAATTTTCCATTTGTATCAACTTAAACCAAATGATACTTGGGATTATTATAACAGTTACTTGGTACATGTAACAACTAGATGCTCTCTGTTTTAGCAGCTGCTAATTGCCTGTACCATCTTGTCGTGATTTAACCCCAGCCAGCAATTACACACCACACAGACATTCGCTCACTCCCTGCACTGTCCCACCCCAGTGGGATGGTGCAGAGAATTGGAGGTGAAAGAAAAAAAAAAAGGTAAGACTTGAGATAAAAACAGTTTAATAGCACAGAAAAGGGAAAATAATAATAATAATAATAGAACGTACAAACCAAGCGATGCACAATACAATTGCTCACCACCTGCTGACTGATGCTAGCCAATCCCCAAGCCACAGTGCCCCCCAGCCAACTCCCCCCAGTTTACATACTGGGCATGACATCATATGGTATTGACTATCCCTTTGGCTCTTTTGGGTCAGCTGTGCTTGCTGTGTTCCCTCCCAGCTTCCTGTGCACTCCCAGCCTCTGCTGGCAGACCAGTAGGAGCAGCTGAAAAGTCCAGTGAAAAGCACTGCTTAGCAACAACTAAAACATCTATGTGTGATTAACATTATTCTCACACTAAATCCAAAACACAGCACTGTACCAGCTACTAGGAAGAAAGTTAACTTTATTCCAGCTGAAACCAGGACTCGTGCTTTTTGGAACATCCCTTTGCTACTCTGAAGGAAGTAATCTATAAGTTTTCCCCCAGATATTCCACTAATAAAATTGCAGCATACTTTGGTAAGAAAGACCTCATATCTTCCCAGAGCTTATCTGGAGCTTGGCTGCCCTTCTCGTACATTAAACAAAAAGCACTCCTTTAAACTTTGCTAAGTAACTTTGAGCTAATGAGAAAGTGAGAATGAGTGTGGAAAACTGCTGGAGGATATGTGTTCAAGAACACTATTGCAAAGGCTCTGGAGATGTTTAGTTAACTCCATACAACAAAAGCAGCTCCTGGTGAACTTCTACAACAGAGCTCTGCTTATGGAAAAATCATCTATACTCTGATTTGCTTGAGTGGATTGTGATAGGCTCACTGTAAAACAACATTCTTTGTGATAATCCTCTTGTAATACAGCTAACACCACCTCTAAACAGTTGAGCTTTCAGTTTTAAGGGTTAGTACTTGAGCTGCAACTCACTACTGAGTCAGGAGAAAAAGAGAATTCCATCTTACTGAGAAATCACCCTTGAAGTCACCCACTTCCTATGATTTTTTTTTTTTTTTCTTCTTCTGAGCCTGGCCTATATGGCCTGCTTAGAGCATAGACCTCTCCCTGCATGCAGACACAAGAAAATGGGAGAATCTCAAGTAGATCTTACTTTATTGGTAATAACTTTTGCTATTCTGAAGGCTCCAGAAACCAGAATAAAGCAATTAATGTGACAATTAAATAGTCAAGTTTGTCTCAAACAGTTATACTTCAGAATTCTTGATAAAAGAACACAGAATGCATTTTTAAAGTGTCAGTCTAGAGGCCAGAACTATGACTTGTGAACAACTGAAGTTTACATTAAGTTAGCCTATGGGTTAATCCAAACTTAAAGAGCGTTAAGGAAATTGTGTAGCTGAAAAGCTGATAACCAGTCAGATAAACAAAGGGAGGGGGGGGAAAAAAAAAAAAAAACCCACAAAGAAGGAATGCAAAGAACTTAAATGAACACTTCTTATTATGGAATAAGACCAAATGTTTCAGAAGCCTATATATGCCATGCTTCTCAAACAACATCACATAAATTATTAAATACAGTTATCATTCATGTTAGTTCCTACACAACATTCCCAAGGAATTACACAAGCAGTCATGGTCTACAAGAGGCAAAGATTATCGCTAGGTAATTACAATATACACACCTATGACACAGAATATTTGAACAGAAGGACTGTTTTGTTAAACACCTAAGGTACTGCTGAAAATTTGATTAACAGTGAGCACTGGGTTACAAAAAGTGCCAGCAAAGTTGCAGTCACCACAGCAGAATTTCTTAGTTGCCCTAAGCAGAAGAAAGGTACCACAAGCAACACTCGGAGCAAATTCATACACATCAGGTAACTACAGATATATTTTGCAGATAATACAAAAAATTGTATACTCAGGGTAGAGAAAATGGATTTAAAATTTATAAAACATAAGCTTGACATGAGTAATTTTGATGATAAGAGATAAACCAGATGTACAAGCCTACCAAAGTGAAACATTATTAGCCTCTACCAAAACCTCCAATACTCACATATGCTCCATTTTACTTCCTTTGTTAAACCTGCTTCTGTTTTTCCTTCTCCTCTTTACTAACACCATGACTAATTCTATGTAAATGATTAAAAGAGAACATATAAAATAGCCTATGAGGTAGTTAACTGAAGAGAAAGCAAAAGAAATCGGTCAACATGAAACTGGAAGTGGACTATCTAGCAGCATCTACAGAGCATCCTTTCCAGTTTAACACTTGAAATCTTTAGCAATGATCTGGAAGAAAATAAAAAGAACCTACTGCTAACAAGATTTGTGGACGATTAACTAAGATGACTGATTACCCAGCATTTCAGAATAGTGTGATATAAAGCATAGAGCAGTCTAGATCACCTCTGGGTATGCACAGTGAGTCCCTTTAAACAGCATGCTTTTTAATATCTAACAATGCAAAGGCATGCACACACAAATAAGAAAAGGATATTACATTAGAGAACAGAGTAGCGCCTCAGGGGCGGGCAGGAAGAGCAAAATAAAAAAAAATTAATCAGAGGATGAATAACTTTGTATGAGTTTCCAGGGTGTCACTGCAGGGAAAACTGCTATGGATGACAAGCTTATTAGCACAGTGCTGTGACTGATCTTATGTGGCCATACGGTTTAAGAACCACAACTGGCTTACAGCCAAACTGTTTGAAGCGTGGGCCAAAAGAAGCCTTTATTTGCCTAGCCCAGGCTTTTAGACATGGCTTATATTTTGGCCAAAAAAGTCTGAAATAGAATACAGCCAGGATCAATGCATGCTGGTGCACTTAATAGTTTGTTTACAACTTTCCTCCCATCCCTTGTATACAACGTTTGGGGTTTGGTTCTCCAGAACATCTGCATCCCTCACCATCAAATCTATCTATCGATTATATATATACACACACACATATATATGAAACAGATGAAGATCTATGATCTGCAAGCACATCATACAGAGCATTACATGAAGGAAAGTTTCAAAAATGCATCCTAATGCACTGCCTGTAAAAGGATGGAAGCCAGGCCCCTTACTCTTCTCAAATTGAACTGCTTTGCTTTTTCTGATTCCATGTCATATTCTGAATGGAAGGAAACTATGGCAAAGCATATGACAAAAATGGAAGATAAGGAAAGATGAACTATGAAATGGCCTCAGGTCACTACTATATTTCAGCCCTCTCACCTATAATAGTTCACCATCCAACAACTGCCATAAACTAGGATTTCTTGTTCTTGCTTGACTGTAAAAGATGAGTAGAATGTTGTTTTTTCTTCGAAAAAATTTTACATTTTTGTGTTTCTGATATGAAGTATGAAAATTAATATGGGATATTTATATTTGAAATTTTTAATGTGATGGAAATTCAGCACATACATGGATATCCCTTCAAATAAAGTGAAAACGTTCAAAAAAAGTTTCCTTTGTCATTGTCAGAATGCTCT